AAGTACAACTTCTTTACACACTTTGAACGTGACTTTAAGCAAAAAATTACAAATACTCGTATATAAACAAATATATATAAACAAAAACTGGTAAAAAGGTATGTTAGTGTAAAATATAAAAAGATTTATCTATTACTTTTTTACAAAATATGTAATTGTTAATTTCTACATTATATTTAGTACCTGTTGGGGTGCATTGACGACCCCTGTGTTGTAGCCGTGTTGGAAACCGGAACCAATAACGGCAGCGAAGACAGCAACCGCCAGGTGCCAAGAGAACGCCGCCGATTGGTCGCCCTTTCGGCCGCCGTTTTGCATTCTCTACGAATTCTATGGGTAAGGTGTCTTCTTCCTAAAAATAATAAAAATTTAATATAATATATATAGATATATATACATTATATATATCTACATATTTATAAAATAAGTCGGGTTTTCCTTCCTGACGAAATAACTCCAGAACGCAGAACCGATTTCGACAATTTTGCATTCGTTGAAAAGGTCTCGGGCTTCCGCAAGGTTTATAGCTAAGAAAATTAGTGGTGCATGGCATCGTGCCCTAATGCAAATTGCTGAAACTTCACACATCGTAATTAAACATTCGAGTAATGACATCAGTGAGAATTATCAGAATTATGCTTGGTTAAGTCAACGAGCAATTCTTGCTGCAAAGAATAATGATGTACACGCAATGAATTTCACAATTCAATAAAAAATTGCTGGCGACCAAAAAACAAAAATGTGGTTTACCAAAGAGCACTTCATGATGAAACGGATAATTTGCGGATTCACTTTCATGTGCCTTAGAGAAGTTCAACTAAAAAACACTTCATTTTTGTAATCGAAATAAATTCATTACTGTTGTATAATAAAATCAAATTTTTCCTTTTCAAATGTAAAACAAACAAAAAAATTTCTTCATCTTTCTCAGAAACCATCTGGTGGCGAAACGGAGTTCGTTGGGTTTGCTATATATATATATATATATATATATATATATATATATATATTATAATTGAGGTAAAAACTTACTATAGCTAATTGTTGGAAGTCTATCGTTTTTTGGGTTTTTATTCTAAAGAAATATTTATATTTAAAGTTTAGTCGATTTGAATAGAAGTTCGTTCAAATAAACGATTTACTAGTAGTGCATTGCTTAATGTGCCTTCTAATAATAATAGAAATAAAGTACTTTTTCAAAAAATTATTTTTTTATAAAAAAATTCGGATAATGTGATTAATTTATTTTGCCATCATGAACATATTTCATTCTTTTGGTTTCGCAAAAAAGTATTCAGATATCAATAAAAATTCTGAGAAAATGTGTTTTTAACAATTTCAAATATTTATGAAATATGATTGTATTTTCAAATTAGTCAGTTAATTTCATGCCAAGTGAAATTAAATAAAAATGAATAGAAAATAAAAAAATAAGATTGATAAACGAAATATTAGAAGATGAATTACATTTCAGTGGTCTACTATAATTTAAATTTTAATTTAATTTGAATTCAAGGAGATTGTATCAGACAGGATAAATATGATTTATACCCGCATGTATTATCATCTCAATAAACTGAATGAGAGTTCAATGAATCCTTTATATATATTATATTATATTATATATATTATATATATATATAATATATATATATATATTTGTATTTATATAACACTTGTTTATTAGCTGTGAATATTAAATTGATAGAACAGTTCAATTCAAAGGTAAAATGTCCAGCAGATTATTATTATTCTTGAAAACATTTTACACATCGATACAAGAATAAAATTTAATCGATTCTTAGACAAATGAATTAAAATTAAAATAAAATTAATTAGTGCGGAATATATATATATATATATATATATATATATATATACCTAAATCTTATATATTTCATTTGTGACATTTCGGATTCATAGCGCTTCATCATCAGGTTTAATATCAGAAACTAAATATACATAGATAGTATAATATACGTGGTCTGTTCAAAAAGTACCCGGAATTACTAATAATTAAATTTCGCGGGGTCTGGAGTGTCTGATTGTCAAATTTTTCTTTATTGTGTTGGTATACAGCCCCTAAAGTATGATGAAAATTTCAGCTATATTCACTGTGTTTACTTTGTCTGTGGTAGTCGCTAAAGGTCGACGTGTTGTTTTTCTGAGCTCGGCGATTTTTACAATGGAAGAATTGAAAAGTCAAAGAATTTGTATTAAATTTTGCGTAAAAAATGAAATAAAGTGTTGCAAAGTGCAAAAAAATTCACCAGATATGGCTCCGTGTGACTTTTTTCCTATTCCCAAAGTTGAAGAGACCATGAAGGGACGGCGGTTTCCTCGATTGAAGAAAATCGCTGAGAGTGCTCAAGGGACATATCAAAAAGTGAATATCAAGGGTGCTTCGAAAATTTGAAAAAACGCTGGCATAAGTTATTATATTGGGGGGGACTACTTTGATAGGGGACCACATTAATGTAGACGAATAAATAAATATTTTATATTTAATACGAAAATTCGGGTACCTTTTGAAACAGACCACGTTATAGTAGAAAAATACTCTAGAAAAAAAAAATAAAATCTAAATGTATTTTTTATACGATTCAGAATTTTTCACCAGAACTTCTTTTTGTTAATTTTTAATTCTTACCCCAAAAAATAAGCATTTATTTAACGTTCAAGAATTATCAAAAGGAAAAATACTCTATAGAGGAAAATTAAAATCTAAATATATTTTTTATACGATTCAGAATTTTTTACCAGATTTCCTTTTGTTGTTATTAATTCTTACCCCAAAAAATAAGCATTACGTTAAAAAATCATCAAAATGTTCAAAATCGAGCTAACTAAAATTTTTCGAAATATCCTAAAATAAATTATGTACCCTAAAATAAATTAAATTTCCACAAATAACAATTGGTTCTATAATTCTCATGTTATTGAAATTTTTGTCTAATATTGTTAAAGCATATAAAATTCCTACAAAATGATTTATAATCCATATACTGTTAGTTGTATTTTTTTTTTCAAAATATTTAAATGAATAATAGTAATTGATTGAAGATTCCATGTTATGTATTTTTATGCAATATTTATTTTGATATGAATTATATTATATATTTGTTATACCGTTTGTTAGACCTTGGCGAATGATTTTAGATGAAGATAAACTCGTATTTCGCTTTCGAAATATGAATATATATATACACGTATATATATATATATATATATATATACAAAATGATAAATGATGTACAATTTGTAAACCTTCATGTACTTTCGTAAGTCTCCACAAAAAATTATGAAAGTAGTTCAATGGAATTAATTTTATTAAATTCCCTATTTATTTTATTTATATTGATATCCAGTACATAACTCCAATTTATTTATGTACATTTATTTTTATATTTTTATTATTTCCTAATTTTTTTATATATTTTTAGATAACACTGAAGATGAATCAAATTATAACTCGAAACGTTCATTAGAATAATAATAATCAAATGTTTAAATACTTCTGTGCCTTATTTTTATATACATAATTTTGTATAATTAGATTATT